CTGTCTATTCCGGCGGCTTAACATTAAATGCACACTAAACAGTCAATAATACCAGATCCAAAACAAGTCCTTCCTCATTCCTTTCCCATTTCATACCGGAATGTAATGAAGGTCTCACCAATAACACTTCTCTCCTCTAATCCAATTATTATTATTGAGTCCCCCACTTCAGTATACCATAAGATATAGTCACAACTGTCAAATACCCCTGTCCGCCAAAAACACAATGTCATAAATAACTTCCTGTCTCCCATTGACATCAAAAACTTCTCAATTTCAAATCAAAGACGACTTCTCAACAACTAGTCCAGAATACAAAACTTTGTATTTTGTCCCACTTAAAAGGCACGATTACCGTAACATGCAGCAAAAAACACCCCCATCTTATTCTTAACCAATTCGTTCCTTGACTCCTTCATTACCTTTCAAATACAAGTGAACACTAAACACTATCCCCCTCACTCTATCAGCATTACCTTATCAACATTCAAGGGAAACCGCCCCGTGCCCCCCATTTTCAACCCATCTGAGACCTAGCGCTCCAGACTACGAAAAAAATGCAACTCTTGCGGAGAATAATAATTTACCAAGACATTTATGATCAAGATGAAAATAAACAAGAATACACCTGAAAACACACAATCCTCAGGTCCTCAGAAGTTTTAAACACACATTAGAAACTGTGTGTTTGCTTACTTTGAAACTTGTCCTCAAAAGCAGAATGCCCTCAGTCTGAATAGGTAATGAAACACAATTAACTTCGCCTTAGTATGAACCTCTAATAATTGTTTCAAGCCTAGCAAGATAAACTTAACCTCTAGTTTACAGCGCATACAAGCTGCTCAAAAAACCGCAAAAATGGCACTCTCCCCAAAAAATTAGAAAACTTCAGACAAGTATCTAAGGCCCCATTCTTCTACTTGACTGGCGCGAACACTCGGTTTGAAGAAGCGAAAATTTTAAAAACACAGATGGGTCTTAATCATCTTTACCAACAAAAAGCAAGTCTGCAAAAAAATCATACACACCGATAAGGAACATTTACAATGCATCGTTTTTAAAGAAGAAAAAAAGCAGTATAAACCAGCTCCGTTAAATTTCCAAAGAATGTTTAGAAAAATCACTGATGAGCAATGTAACACCGAAAGCATATCAGTCGAGAAATATCTAAAAAATTAATTCAAAAAATAATGAGCGCATAGTGGAGCCGGTGCAGCATACTTAAGTCCAGAAAAATATATTAAAATGGATCGTTAGCAGTATTATAAGATTTCTGATGCCAATCTAACTTGTTGTAAGTGTAATTTATTTTTGGCTTCCCAGCAACAACACCCGACTCAATGCCGCATTCATCCACACCACGAATTATTCGAAAGAACCCTGAAGAAAAATTTTAAGTCATGAAATGATGGCCTAGAGGTTTTATTCTAAAATCGCTAAGAAATTTTATGCCTTCTAAGTTCAACCAACTGCCCAGTTACGGCTCGAGTATTCAATTCAAAGTTCTTTTTAAAAAATAATGATTTAATTGCTTACCATTTTCACCCCAATCAGTATTCCAAGAATTTGCAACGATCCAGTAAGGTACTCCCTGCTCAATGCCCCAACCTAACATCTTCACAGCATGGCCTCCTCCTATTTTTCCTCCTGTATGCTTAAAAATAAATACATTCAAATATATCTATAAAAAGAAAATCGGACGTGGTT